ATACACCCTTGACCAGAAATCAATTTTAAGCACTAAAATCACTTAATTCTAGCTCAATTGTGCCATAATTCAAACCCTTTTAAATTATTAACTCACATATACATACTTAAGCTCATTAATACCAATTTATCACATCTCTAACCTCAAAATTCTATCATCCACATGGAATTTAAGAATCATACCAATTTTTCCACTTGTTCTAAATCTAATTCTATCACTTTGAATTTCTTATTTCTATTCATGACAAGTCAAATTTAACCTCAAAACTCAATTACTAACTTCTTTCCATAATTTCACTTAACCACTCCTTATCTTAAATCTTCCATAACTTCCATATCTTTTAATTATAAGAAAACCAACTGAAAATCAAACTCACTTTATACCAAAACCCACGGTGGAGAGGAAGGAGAAAACTGAAGAAGTCTCTGGACTTCTCTTTCTCTCATTTCCCACATGTTTATAGCCGATAAAAGAAAGATAAAAATTTTCTTATCAAATGACCATTTTACCCTTATTACTTTCAAACTTAACTATTAAATCCAACATAAAAATTCTCTAATTAAATCCCTGAACTTTTCAATCTTTCAAAATTATACCTCAAAGTTCCAAAAATTCCATTTTGGTCACTAACTCGACTTTTAGGATGTTTCAACATCCTTGGTAGATTAGATGTAACACCTTAGACCAGTACAAACCAAATTCGACCGATGTAGGATGCCACACGGAACCACATGAGTGGCTGACTAACACCTTACTCTTTTCTTGTACTAAAAACAACAATTTTCACCAATAAAAACATCCATAAATAAATATAATTTAAATCTTTATATTGGGGAGATCCCAAAAATAAATATTTACAATCAAAATATTATAGACCGCCTCTTAATAAAATTTTTAACTCAATTAATACAACAGAGTTTATAAAATATACATACCCTTCAAAAACTGTTGAGACATACTCTGAATCTACACTGGTTTGGACCTTAATCTATCTACTGCTCCTCAAACTCTCGATCTACTGACCTGTCCAAGGAAAACAATATGCGCCACACTAATAACTAAAAGTTTATCACTCAAATGCTCAAGCTATCAAATCTATTGTTATTTGGTTTACTGGTCTATTTTATTCTGCTTTGCTTTAGTGAGTATACTTGTATACTCACTCTCTAATCTATGGTAGACATCATGGTACGGCTGAGGGTATTTCATCTCGAAGCTTACAAACCCCTCTAGTCTACCGAGAATGTGGACCACAAAATCTCTACATTGGACACCACACTCTCGACTAGCCCACTCCTTGAGTGTCAAACCTTGAGCCCAAACTAGTCAGCTTAAAGTGTCTTGTGCAATCCTTAAGGATATCCAGACTGAATCTATACTTTTGACTCTGCTATCTTTTCTAAGAAACTCGGGTGTCTTGGTCGTTTTCCCGAGCATTCAAACAAAGCTAGTCTTAGTTCACCCTCTTTATTCTCGTTTATACTTTTGAATTAATTATCATTAATTTTCTCACATGAAGTCTTATGTGATGAAATATTGAAGTGTTGGGGTGCCTTGAGTCTAATTCCCTTAAAAATTGACCTTTTTATCCAAAACAAACTGAATGTATCGATACTAGCCCAAGAGTATCGATACTCCTGAAAATGTTTCGTACCGATACTTTTAAACATTCTGTTCTACACAGTTTTGAAACTTTCTGGAGTTTAGAAACTATGACCCAAAGTTTTGATACTCTTGAAAGAGTATCGATACTCTTACCAGAAACTCACGAATTTGCCCAAAATGATACTTTACCTGTAGAAGTCATAAAACACATACGAAAATACTATATTTCAATCCCAAAGACCTTAGTGAGGTCCCCAAACATTCTTTAAAGTCTTATGTGATTACAAGGAGCATAAATAAGACTTTATATCATACTTATAACATAAATCATGTAATCTACCATTAATATATAACTTTAAGCTTCATAACTTACTCTCATGCTAGAACTAATTTCTAATGATCACTAGGAGTATGGAAGAGTTGATAGTGTGTTACCTTGCTTCTTGCTTGCTGGAAACTCTCTCAAGTTAACCAAGGGGCAACTTCTTTTTCCCTATTGCTTTAGAGTTTTCTCTTACCTCCCTTACTAAACAAAGATAAAAAAGGGTTTACTAAACTAACTAAGCTCTTGGATTAAAGTTTAAGATGCTCTAGGTAACTTGAATACACTATAACCAAGCTTGGATTCATGGATCCCCTTAACTTCCATAAAACTCATTTTTGAAAACAAATTATAAAACTTACAAAATGGAGCTTAAAACAAAGCTTGAAGGATGGAGGAAAACATTCTTACCTTGGATACAACAAACTAAGCTTAGAATACTTTAAACTTGGCTCTTGAAATGAAGAATAAATGGAAACTAATAGGAGGAAGAAGAAAAAGAATGGTGAGATATTATGGGGATTTTGGTTACGTGAAATGATATAAAAAGAGGGGGAAATTTTTCATCTTTAAGAAAAAGGGTGAACAACACTTTAGGTCATTCTCCTATTTACTTACTTTTAAAAACACCACTTTCCTATAAATATTGGGCCAACCTAAGCTTGGATTCATGGATCCCCTTAACTTCCATAAAACTCATTTTTGAAAACAAATTATAAAACTTACAAAATGGAGCTTAAAACAAAGCTTGAAGGATGGAGGAAAACATTCTTACCTTGGATACAACAAACTAAGCTTAGAATACTTGAAACGTGGCTCTTAAAAGGAAGAAGAAATGGAAACTAATGGGAGGAAGAAGAAGAAGAGTGGTAAGATATTATAGGGAGTTTGGTTAAGTGAAATGATATAAAAAGGGGGGGGAAGTTTTTAGCTTTAACAAAAAGGGTGAACAACACTTTAGGTCCTTTTCCTATTTACTTACTTTTAAAAACACCACTTTCCTATAACTATTGGGCCAACCTAAGCCTAATACTCTTAAGAATTGGTTTAAAATTGACTTGAAAAATCTAATGGGCTCTACTGACAGGTCTCGGGTACCGAAACTACTAACCCAGAATTCGGGGCATTACACTAGAGGGGTGCATGAGCTTCGAGATGCAGAAATCCCTCAGTCGCACCATGATGTCTGCCACAACATAGAGAGTGAGTATGTGAGTATACTCACTATATTATTTTATTAGTTGTTGAGCATGTTATTAATGAACCCCTGTTAGTATGACTTAGTTGTTAGTGTGACATTGTGCTAGTTAGCTCAACATTTGTAATTTGTTTTCTTACGTATATTAGGTGAAGAGTAGTAGATGAGCTTTTTAACCAGCAGTGATCCATACCAGATCCAGAGCAGAGTATGTCTCGAGTTCTTTAGAAGGCATGTATATTTGTAAATCCTTATTTTGTTTAATCGAGTCGTAGCTTTTTTTTAAACTCATGGTCTGTATATTTTGATTTATATTGTGGGAGCTGATGTAAACTGTTTATTATAAGTATTGATGTTTTGTTTATTTTTAAGCATTTCTAAATGGTTATTTCAATTAAGCAAGTAAAGTAAACAGTTGGTTAGCCACTTTGTGACTCCGTGTGGCACTCTGATTGGTTGATTGTGTGTGGTACTAGTCTAGAGTGTTACAATTCCATTAATCTTTCTTATATTAATTCTTTAAGTCCTTAATAGAATCATCTAATTTTTGGAATATGAACTTGCATCACCATTCTTAATTATCTCATCGAGTAAAGACCTACTAGTAAAACACTAAAACTTATCTCATCATTGTCGGTTACCCAATTTGCATCACAATATTCCTCTAACAATGCGGAGTATTCAACAAATTTCAATTTTCAATCTATAGTATCTTTAAGGAACTTCATTAAGCGCTTAAGAGCATTACAATGCTCTGTACTAAGTATACTTTGACTACTTACAACATAGACAATAGCAAGACAAATATAATTCATCAAGAACATCAAGTTTCCAATAATCTTGGCATATTTAGTTTGAGACGTACTACGTTCTTTATTCTCTATCAACTAGATACTAGAATCATAAAGACTTCTAACAGAGATCATATCATGACTATTAATTTTCTTAGCATTTTCTTGGAGTATGTTCAAACAATTTTCTTTTCAGTTTTTGTAACTTCAAAGATTACATATACATTTCCTCAATCAATCATATCAAATTTAGTAGACAAAAAATCTTTAGCTTTGTTGATGACCTAAATATTTGTACTAAAATCTACATGTCATCTAAATATAAAATACAATCAACATCTTAGAACAATAAAATTAAAATTAAGAGTACTCTTATAAAATTTCTCATACTTGTTATTTCAGAACTTGCCTAAGACCATCAAAATTAAGAGCATATAACCTTTGACAAGGGCAATTGAGCCCTTAGCCGCAAGGTACGGAAGATGTTGATATCCATCATGTGGTAGGAAGACATACTTTTCTGGACTTGCATTGTAGGATCAAGCGCTGGACTATGACTGTAACTTTAATAAGACGATTCCCCTTTACCTAGTTTCCATGGTTCATGAATAAATCCCTGCCCTACCATGTGGAAGTAGCCACTTATCTATCCTCAGAGCTAACGTCAAAAGCATGCATTGACTCAACAAACAAATCGTGGCTAAAGAAAACTACTTACAAGTTTGAACACTGGGTGCTTATTATGAGAATTTTCGAGTAAATTGAGGGAAACAATCGACTGACACAGACACATGTTGCATACGGTTATCTGATGAATCCAGGATGTCCAATAATTGACATATGATAAATATATCCATTTCCAGCAGGAGCAGCACCTAATTTCCACCTAGTAAAAAACGAACAAACAAAAGAAAACCTGCTTCGTTTGATAGTTATAACATGACTGACACCTAATGACAATTCCAGCATGCCTCAACATAAGGATTTGATCTGATAAACTACCCGTTCATGTTTAACTTGATATAAATACTAGCAAGCAGTTATGTAACACATGAAGCAGCAATCAACACAATGTCTCAATGCATAGGGGAAAACTGAACTAGTTCTTTTATTTTTGAAAAAAGAAATCAAGACCGGTATAAGTTGCTCCTGAAGCTAAATGAAACAGAAAAAATTAGAGTATCATATAGACAACTTCTTCTTAAGCCAAAAACAGAATCGTAAATTCGGCTACACCATATTTACAGACACATACACTAAATAATCAAGCAGCGGACGAGCTTAAATGGCAAACTATTTCACCAATAAAGCAGAGCAAGGATCACAAAGAGCCCAATCACCAAAAGAAGATTCTTCAGCACATTATCTGCTTGCTGTCCTCGTGTCGTTGGCTGCTGGGGAAACCTATGGGTATGACCACCATGAACAGCATTGAACCCAAAAGGATCACCTGAAGTTGTTCCATAAACAGTAGCATCCGGAAATCCATGAAAATGAATGTTAAACAAGGATGGCAATAGGCCTCCAAAACCCATTGTAAAGTTACCAATCCTTGTGGTTGCCATCGGAACAAAACCTCCCATTAGTCCAAATCCGTAATTGGCAAACGGATTAGCTTGCAGTGGGGGAGGAGGTGCTGTTGCAGGTCTTTGCCCCACTGGACGGTTTGGGATATCCATGCCAGGATACGATTTTGAACGAGGATCGGTCTGGTTGTTACCCCTGCCGTAAAGAGGAACCAGTTTATCCTCTTGTATGAGGGCCTTGCAAACAGGGCATTCTTGAGAATGAGAGTGATGGTGCAACCATCTGTAAAGGCATGGCCAACAGAAGAGATGACCGCAAAGAGTGACAATCGGGTCTTGAGCTAAGTCGAAGCAGATATTACACTCAAAATCACCAGCATCATTAACATTGTTACTACCCGAGCAAGACGGACTTGGGGGTGGAATGCTTGTTGACTCCCCAAAGCCGCTCGCCATTCCTTATTCACCTAACACAATCGATCAAAAAAATCATAAATAAAACAAATAAAATCATGTAGAAAATACAATTCAACAGGAAAAATAAGAAATCAAAATGATCACTTTCAATAAACCAAATTCCCAATTTTCTGACAAAAGAAACCCAGAAAATTTTAATCGGTACTATCCGCATACCAATAAAAGTCCTAATATTGAATCTTTTATAATAGTTCATCAAATTGTGCCATAAACGATAATAATCATAAACCAATCCACACAATTTCAATAAAAACCAATATAGAATCAGAAAATAAATCAAATCACAATAAATTAAAGACAGAAAAAGAAGTAAATAAAAAACAATATGGTATACATTATAATCTACAAAACTAACCTGAAAATCGAAGGAATTGATTGGATCAGTTTTTTTTCCTTCTTTTTTTAATCTTTTGGGACGATAAAAGAGGGTTATTAATGGGAAGTTTGGCAAATATAGGGAAGAATCAAGGGTTTTCGATTTCCAATTATTCCCGACTTCCTAAAACGCAATAGAGAATCAGTAATTGGGCAGGCCACCATCTCTATTTCAACTTTTGGGTGAAAATCAAAACCTCTATCCATTCATCAAAAGCAATACATAAGAAGCCAATTTTTCTCCGGTTTAATCAATTTTATTGCTTTTCAAAGAAATATATATATGCATATCGTATATGATTAGAACGAATCATTTAAATTAAAATCAATAAGTACTATAATATTATAAAGAATTATAATCAAATTTAAACAAGAATACAAACAAATATATTCAATTTCACTTGACTCAAGAAATATAAATAAAATTTAAATAATAAAATAATGCACATAAATTCAAATAACTCGAATTTTTTTACTCAAGTCCATCAAATACTCACCCTCAATATAAATATAATTAATAAATTATTTTAGCATAATTACAAAATTCGACCTCCGTATTCACATCTGTGAGATAAAATATTTTGAAGAAAAAACCCATCTAGAAGCCAAATTGTTTTCTTGTTAAATTCTTTCGTTTGACTGGTAGTGGGTAGGTGAAGCACAAAATTTTGGGGAAGAATATGGTTTTTTGGTATAGTCACATATATATGATCTATTGATCGACTAATCTGAATCGGATACTGCAGATGTAACGCCCCGAATCTTGGATTAGAAGTATTGAGCTAATCCGAGATGGGCCTTGGTTTAATTTGTAACACCCTCAACCCGTACCCGACCCGGATACGAGTCCAGGATGTCACATTGACTATACAAAATAATACTTTAAAAACGATAAAACATTTGAACTTATATTATTAAAATACAATAATATACATATGTTAATACAAGTTTATCAAAATACTCAGAGTATACACAACTTGACTTTTTGATTACATGCCAACATTCATTTACATAACAAAAGGACCTACTGATTAAGTTGTCTCTGATCTGATAGTTGCAGAAGTAGTGCTGTCCAGCTGCTTAACTTGTCTCGTCTACTTTCTCGGATCCTACGTATGAAACACTCACACACTAAGTCATCGACTTAGTGTGGCAGTATAATAATAATAACAAGGAAATGTAATGAAAATGCCATAATAAGATGAAATGAGATGAAATCAAATACTAACCATGCAGTTTATATCACCATGTTCCTTACCTATAAGCATATTACATTAGCATTCATGAATTCGTATCAATAAGTTTATTGACCCATGATACCATACTGAGAACCTAAGGTATGTGAGTACTGTGAGATTGTGCACTATGCTGTCACCACAGCTCGTATAAATGCACCGAAGTGCCACGTAGAATTGCACCGAAGTGCCGCGTAGAATTACATCATAGTGCCATATAAGATTGTCCCTAAGGACCACATAGAAAATTACTTAAGAATCATATACATATGCCAATGATCAAGTATGTGTCTCAAAAGACCTCACACATGTTCCAAAGGATACATATATGTCCCGAAGGACCGCGTAGACCCTCTACTCTTGGCATGCCAACTATACCTATAGTTCTCATCGACATAACATGGGGTTTTCCCAATTTACATAGTATATCACATAGACATATCATTTCCTTACCTTCATCACATGGCTCATATAACTTTGCATACATATTCATTTAAAACATATTACACAATGCACATAGTATGAATTTATATCATGCTTCACAATATGAAATGAATCATGAATCAATGTATTCAATCTAGACTTCTCACAAGTCTAGGACTGAATATATATCTATACTCATGTTATGCATATTCACTCACCTATATTTCTTTGTTTTTTCCTCGATCGATCTTATTAGGAAATCGCTCTGGAACTTGTTTAGGCTCTGTATGTACATAGTAATTTATTGATACTTATCAGTATACTAATTAATATATTCTAAATAGTCATTTCTTAGGGGGTGCATAAATCCCATTTGATGTTTGTATTTAAGAGAGTGCATCGATGCACAAGTAGTGCATCGATGCACTGATGGCATTCGATGTTTTTATTTTAAAGGAGTGCATCGATGCATTTCATGTGCATCGATACACCTTGAACAATTTCTGGGATTTTATCCTTGATGCATCGGTACACATTAAATGTGCATCGATGCACATAGCCCAGAAATGTCATTTTTAGACCGAAATCCCTTCATAATCCCCTCAACACTACATAATTCACCTCCTTTTATATCCCTAACGTAAATACACTTACTTAAACTAATTATTATCCATTCAATACCTCTAAAACTTAGAAATCCAATCATCCATATAGAATTTAAGAATCTCACTCAAATTCCAACATGTTCTAAATCTAATTCTGACACTTCATATCTTTTAATTCCACGTCTTAAAATCTAATTAATACATTTCTGTCAAGATTTCACTTATTCACCTCCTTTCTTTAATCCTTCCTAACTCCATCATCTTTTGATTTTAAGATAACCTAAGCCTTCCTTAAGCTTAGTTATCATCTAATGATCAAAAGCAACCTTAAATTCATCCAGAATTTGATCAACAAGAAAACTCACCTTTAGTTTAGCTTCACGGTGGAGAAGAAGAATGATGAAGAAGAGAAATCAAGAACTTTGGTTTTCCCCAATTGTCTTCCACGTGGGTATTAAAATATCCCTTCAAAAGTAATATTTAATTACTTCCCTGCTAAAAGACTAATTTGCCCTTGTAATTCTTCTTCTTTGCTAATTGATCATACAAAAAACATTTCAATCAAATCCTTAAACTTCTCAATTTGTCCTATTTGGCCACTGAGTTTTTAAATCTCACAATTTAATCACTAACCTGGTATAGAGGATGTTACAAATCTCCCTCCCTTAAGAAATTCGTCCTCGAATTTTCATTGCACAAACAGATGGGGGTATTGAAATCGCATATCCTCTTCACGTTCCCACGTTGTTTCTTCTACTTTGTGATTTCTCCAAAGAACTTTGACCAACGGAACCGTTTTATTTCTCAATTGTTTGACTTCGTGAGTCAATATTTGTATTAGTTCCTCTTATAGGTCAAAACATGTTAAACTTCTACTTGTTCTGGTGTAACGATGTGAGAGGGATCGAACCTATATTTTCTTAACATGACACATGAAAAACATTATGGATTTTCTCCATTTCTGGTGGCAAAAATAACTGATATGCCACTGTCCTATTCTTTTAACAACTTCATATGGCCCGATGAATCTAGGACTTAGCTTTCCTTTCCGACCAAATCGTAATACTTTTTTCCATGGTGATACCTTCAGAAACACTTTATCCCCAACTTCAAATTCAATCTCCTTTATTTTAATGTCAGAATAAGACTTTTGTCGATCAAATGCCACTTTTAGGTTATGTTGAATTTCCTGAACTTTCTCTTCCATATCTTGAATCAAATATGGACCGAGTACATTCCGATCTTTGAGCTCATACCAGTTTAATGGCGTACGAGATTTCCTTCCATATAACGCCTCATAGGGTGCCATTTTAATACTGGACTGATAACTATTGTTGTAAGCGAACTCCATCAGTGGTAAGTATTTCTCCCATGACCCTTTGAACTCCATAACATGCTCGCAACATATCTTCCAATATTTGAATAGTTCTTTCTGATTGTCTGTCTGTCTGGGGGTGAAAGACGGTACTAAAGTTTAAGTGAGTCCCTAATGCTCCATGCAAGGATTTTTAGAATCTCGAGGTGAATCGAGGATCTCGATCAAAATTATAGAAACAGGCACTCCATACAATCTAATAATTTCTCTAATATACAGCTTCTAATACTTTTCCATAGAGAAATCTGTTCTGACAGAAAGAAAATGTGCTGACTTGGTCAATCGATAAACAATTACCCAAATCGAATCTCTTTTGTTTGGACTCAGGGTTAACCCCGAAACAAAATCCATCGTTACATTTTCCCACTTCCATTGTGGAATGGAAAGTGTTTGTCATAATCTAGATGGAACTTGATGTTCGGCTTTGACTTGCTGGCATGTTAAGCACTTGGACACAAATTCAATAATGCTTCGTTTCATCCCTAGCCACCAATACCGATCTTTTAAATCCATATAGATCTTGGTTCCACCCGGGTGCATCGTCAATGGACTGCAATGAGCCTCTGTCAATAAATTCTTCTTCAACTCTTCATCCTCTGGTATCATAATTCTTTCTTTATAATACAATTTCCCATCAGACTTCACCTCAAAATCCTTTATTTCTTTATTCTTTACTTGCTCTATTCTTTTCAAACATATTTTATCTTGGCTTTGCAATTCTCCTATTCGGTCCAACCATGATGGTTTAAGTTTTAACTCTGCACATAAACCACCGTCTCCAGTCAAAGATAACCTTGTATCCATAGCTCTTAAAGCTGCAAACGTTTTTCTACTCAAAGCATCTGCTACCACGTTAGCCTTTCCGGGATGATAGTCAATTATTATATCATAATCTCTAAAAAACTCAACCCGTCTCCTTTGTCTCAAATTAAGCTCTTTTTGAGTCATCAGGTATTTCAAGCTCTTATGATCCATATACAAGTAACATCATTCTCCATACAGATAATGACGCCAAATCTTGAAAGTGAACACCATTGCAGCCATTTCTAAATCATGGGTGGGGTAATTCTTTTCATGTGGTTTTAACTCTCTCGATGCATACGCTACCACCTTACCTTTTTCATTAATACACACCCCAACCCATTGCGGGACGCGTCACTATATACGACAAAATTCTTGCCAGATTCTAGTTGAACCAATACAGGAGTTTCTGTCAAAATTCTCTTTAAAGCTTCAAAACTTTCTTGACATTCAGAAGTCCAAACAAACGGTACATTCTTTCTCATCAGCTTCGTTAAAGGCAGCACTATCATCGAAAAATTCTTAACGAATCTTCGATAATATCCGGCAAGTCCAAGGAAACTTCGAACTTCTGATACATTCTTTGGAACTTCCCAATCCATTATAGCTTTTACCTTTTGAGGGTCCACCCGAATCCCATCTGCAGAGATCAC